CAGGACAAGGACAGGGACGGGCGGCCCCAGGTGGTGCGTGTCGGAGGCGAGGAGAGCGAGGTCACCGTGCGGGGCCTGGAGCCGGGGCGCAAGTACAAGATGCACCTGTACGGCCTGCACGGGGGGCGGCGCGTGGGCCCCGCGTCCACCCTGGGCCTGACCGGTGAGTGGGGCGGGGCCGCAGGGCAGGGGGGAGGGCCCTGGAAGACTCTCCCTTTGTTACCATCTTTGTGGAAACACCGGTGTACCCCCCCCAACCCCCCACAGGCTCCACCGCTGGCCTGGGGTCTGGTAGAGGGTGAGGCTGGGCCCGGGGGGCCGGGGGCTCTCTGGATGCCTGAGGGGGTGCAGGGGCCTCGCTGCTCCTGGCTGAGCCGTGGTGCCCTTGTGCCTCCCCTGGGCTCCCTGAGCACCAGCGGGGCCCTGGCCAGAGAAGGGCCCTGGGTTGTGCGGGGGCGGCGTCCACAGCCGACCCGAGGCTCCGGGCATGTCAGTGAGGCTGCCCCGGGGGCTCCCTGAAGTGACCAGGGCCCGGCCATGACCAGGGCTTGGGAGGAGACCCGGACATCTCCGTGGAGCCTGCTCACCGCCCTGTGTCTGTGCTTCTCAGCTGCAGAGGAGGAGACCCCCAGCCCCGCAGAACCCAGCACGGAGGCCCCAGAGCCCCCCGAGGAGCCCCTGCTCGGGGAGCTGACGGTGACGGGATCCTCCCCGGACTCGCTGAGCCTGTCCTGGACCGTCCCCCGGGGCCACTTCGACGCCTTCACCGTCCAGTACAAGGACAGGGACGGGCGGCCCCAGGTGGTGCGTGTCGGGGGCGAGGAGAGCGAGGTCACCGTGCGGGGCCTGGAGCCGGGGCGCAAGTACAAGATGCACCTGTACGGCCTGCACGGGGGGCGGCGCGTGGGCCCCGCGTCCACCCTGGGCCTGACCGGTGAGTGGGGCGGGGCCGCAGGGCAGGGAGGAGGGCCCTGGAAGACTCTCCCTTTGTTACCATCTTTGTGGAAACACCGGTGTACCCCCCCCAACCCCCCACAGGCTCCACCGCTGGCCTGGGGTCTGGTAGAGGGTGAGGCTGGGCCCGGGGGGCCGGGGGC